CTGAGGCCCAGCCAGTGGCCAGAGCTGGAGAGTCGGACAGAGATCGCACCAGGGTCAGTGCGAGCCGCAGTGAGCGAGAGCAGACAAGAGCCAACCAACGTGGCCCCTGGCCCACCTCCAACTTACATACTGAGCATGTTGGCTTATGGCATGAACTACCGCTTCCGTCAGTTTGGATCAGCCGTCCTCACTGTGTCCTCTCCCAGCTTCTTGTAGCGAAGAAGCTGGGAACACAGGCACAGCACCAGAAACCGAGGAAGTCCTTGACTTGGGACAAACGCTCTTCAGCAACAACTAAAACCACCGGTGTTACCAGTGCTTTCCCCGGGGCAAATCCACAGCATGGCCTCATACTAGCTACTGTGAAAAAAACTGTCCCAGCTAAAACCAGCACAATATGTTACCACATACTTGGAAAATTTTATGTAATTGGATGCATAAAATATGTTTCTTACTATGTATAAACACCCCCCACCAAAGACATACAGTTATAAACTGCAATCTGTTCAGGGAGTTTCTCCAGGATATGCGCAATTGGCTGGAAGTGACAGTAATTTCAAAACAAGTACTATGGCTGAATGTAGGCTCTGACATTCTAGCTCCAAATACTCTAGGCAGCATTTACTTGGGGTTTGAAGTACTCCTTGTTTGTTGTAGAGTCGTTTGTGGAGGGAATGACTTATGTGACTCCTTTCAAAACTTGACTACATCTGCACCCCAAAATAAGCTTGTAATCATTATTACTGTCATCACACACAGATTCTCTAGCTTTTCTACCGAATTTAGGACAAATATTTGAAAGGGTAAACAACATTAATTACTTGACTAACTTGGATCTTTTGCATACAAAACAACCCATACAAGAGCCTTAGTAAGCTGCATAGTCAAAAATTAGAAGATACAGTAACTGAGGATTCTTGTGCAAGCTTAATTCACTCTGTGTTTGCGTTTTATAATCACATCCTTCTTTTTTATTCTGTAGAACAGTGTCTTTTTTAATGTATAGATTGGATAGTGTTCACTAAACAGCTGCTTAGTATTTTTTCCTTTTACTGTTCAGGATGTGATTTTTAGATCTGACTTAACTGCGTGCCATTCAAACCTTCCTCTGAAAATATATGCTTCTATGCCTATTTTTCTATTTTACTTATCACTATGGTAATTAAAGGACTATGTTCACTAATTTGTCATCTTCCCCTCCCTGTGTGGAAGGGCATATTTTAATCCTCATTTTACAGATGGAAAGCTAAGATATAGTTACACAAGCAATGTTCGTTTCTTGAATGCTTAATTTTACAACTTTATGATTTAGTTTTATAATGGGAAAAGAGGACAAATGAGAAGTGTTTCCATTTCCTAGCTGTTAAAAAAGGAGTCAATCTGCCTCAAATTCTTTCATCTCTGTTGCCATGTTTTCCCTTTTCTTCCATTTTCCCTTATTGTGTATGAAAGGCATCTTGGTATCTTAGCTGATAGCTTTGTTTTCAGTTGGAAAGCAGGAAAACTTGATTTTACAGAAGTGCTGAGACAATTTGATGTTCCTCCTGGTTTTAGAATTTTTAGGAATTTACTAAATAGTGATGTAATAAATAAGAAATCAGTTCTATACAAGAACAAAATGTTAACTTGGAAGTGATTTCTGCCTTTCTCTGGGATTATTGAAAAATAGAAATAATTAAAAATAAACATACTTCCTTCCTAATCTTGAATTTTAGTGCAGCTAAATGGAACACAAGCCTCAGAATATCTGAGTTTTGGACTATTGTATAAGCCACGAATTCTAGCAGGCTTTAAATTTGGGAAAAGTAAATTCTTCCAGTCTTACTTTAAGTCCTTTCCAGTATATATATGTTGTAGTTTGGTATTTTTAGTAACTATAAGCCTGCTTAGGAGAATGTTGAGAACTCAACATGAATTTACCTCAACCAGGTGCAACTATCTTTATTCTTTATTGGGAGTTTTCCAAGACTGCTGATGCTATGTAAATGTGGGCTGTATAATTAAACCTATGAAAAAGTCGAATTTTGTATTCAAGATCTTAATATGAAAGCCTATTCTGAAATGTAAATATTTCTACAGCCTTCTAAAAACATTATGTATCTTCTGTACTTGCTAAAAGTGCAAGGTTTTCTGTTTAAATTTAGGAACAACAGCAGAGTACATAAAATGCTATAAAGAAATGTTTATCCTGTCCTGAAACAAGCAAATATTCTAATATTTTATTTGTTTGACAAACAGGTACACACAAAGTTCCACTGCAGGCAAGCCCATGCTCCAGGCACCGATACTTCATGCTTGACCTTTTCCTATGATGGTACCGTCCTTGCCAGCCGGGGAGGTAGGTGATTGAAAGAACCCTTTGATGTATTGAATCTAATACAGTTTTAACTTTAAGTAAAATGGTTTACTAAACAAACCATTTAAATCATATGATCATTAAATGTGGTTGTTTATGATGGAGGTAAGATGGTGAAATCAGAAACTAGTGATTTTTACCTGTAGTGTTTCACAGTTAACATCTTCTAATTTCATACACCATGCAATAATGTCTTTCTGAAAGTGCATTTTACAGCAGTTAGGTATTTTAAGCGAACTTTGCTGTTTCTGTTCTGTATCTGTCATCTTGTCTAGCATTAAGAGTACACCAAAAGTAAATTATAAGCTGAATTAAAAATAAAACAAGACCACTTTTGTTACTCAGTTCTTTCTGGTAAGATTACTATATCTCAGTAGCAGTATCTCTGTTCTGGAGTTATTAATTCCTCAATCAGCTTTCTTATACAATATTATTTTCTGTTCTAATTGAAATTTTAATCTAATTTATATTGCAAATATCAAGAGGTGATGACTGGAAATGAGTGGCCAAGATGTACTTGAATGGCAAAAAAATTTGAAATGTCTACAGGACAGGATAAAACCACTTGTTTTCTAAACTTCAGATAAAGCTTTTATAAAAAAAGGCTTAGAGAAGAGCACAAGTCTTGAGGAGGCAAAGGTATTTTGAAGACTCGCTCATCCCACTATTACGTGGAGGATGTTGTCTGCTAAAACAGCTTTTCATACAGAGATTTGTCTACCCAGTATTTTGCAGGCAGGTGCAGGCATACAATCCGAGCTGTCTGGATGGAAACCAGCTGTAACCAGAAGCTATGTGTATGCATTAGCATGGCCCCAAGGCCAAATAAACAGGCCTAGGGAGAAGCAGGATATGTCAGTGTCAGCTAACATTGTGCCGAACATATGTACAGGACATCTGGTCAGTTCGGTACATAGACAGAATGAGATTACATGTACGAAATACCGGGATAGCAGTATTCATAGACAGCAGAAACTCTGAAACAGGGAAATGTGCTTCCAAAGCTAAGAGGTGTAGGTTGCAATTGCTTTGTGTCCTCCCCCTGTCCCTGATGAATACAGTGGCACCTGTCCCTGATGAATACAGTGGCATTGGTGGCTTTTACAGCAATATGCAGCTCCTATTGGATGCTAGCTCTCTGACTTCTTTGTATGTCTTGCCACGTTTCTGAGATTCCAAACATTATGTTCCCCAGGTCACATCTTTTAGAGTAAGATGATGGTCGTCTTGACCTTGACGGTGTAGGCTTACTAGGGCACGCTAATGGCACTTGGATTGTTTCCTAACTGCTGTTCAGGGTCCTGGATCCAGAGTTGTACTGCCACTGTACTCATCATGGATGAGTCTGAAGTGTCTGAAGTTAAAACTCTCAGCCTTGCTGGTCCTTACTGAAACAGACGCTTTCTGTGTGCAGACCTTCTTCTCCATGGAAAGGAGATGCACCATCTGTCTTTCTGTTCTGGGATAAGTGAAATCCTGCATCTGGCAGTGTTGCCCTCGAAAAATTCACACAGGCATACTTCATATGGTTTAAAGAGAAACCTCAGCATGCTTTTAAATATTAAGAGCAAATAGGTTAATACTTCTGTGAGGAATATTCACTACCACTGTCTTGAAACCTCCATTTATGTAAAATCTCTTGTTTCGCATTTATAAATGTAGATCACATAAATGACCTTTCCTTATTTTTATTACATGTGACACTTCTACTTGCCTGCTCTTCCTCATCTGTCTCCAGAATCTGTGTCATGTTAAACCGGCTTTCACTTACTTACATTTTATCTACCATCCTCTGCTCTAAACTGTGTATAATGTTGGTTGTTTGCATAATGTAAGACAAGATGTAAATTCGGCCTTTCAGTGTGAATAAAAGTTCTACCTTTGCCTGGTGTACTAAAAAACCAAAGATCTCTGTGTGTGCTGAGCTAGAGAATAAGGCGGATTCATACCTTATTTTGGCTTGTTGGGTTAGTGCTCTAATATGAGTATTGCTTTGGATCTGTACCAGCAAAAGCAGATGTGGATCCAGCATTCATAGATTAGCACACCTGCCAAGTGCTGGGGATCAAAGAGAGGATAGTTGCTTGGGGAATGGGGACTCTCAGTGAAAGCCTGATAGCCTCTCCAGCATCTGATGTAGATTCAGTGTTGGATATGAGAGAGATGAGGCAGGGCTCAGCTGCAAGCACAAGGGAAAATTAAAAGCTAAGGAGCTGCTTATGAGAGTTCCCAGTCTTACTCTTGTTGGGTATTAGGTAGTAACTTGACAGAAACTTAAGAAAGTGATATTTTTACACACTTGTAACCATGAAAGTGATTTTTTTCTAAATACAGTGAAGATAGTATTTGGGGAGCATTTCCTTAGTTTAGCAGTGAGAAGTTAAGCATTAGGACTGGACTTGGGGTCATGTTATAAAAATTGTAAAAAAACTTAATTTGACTCTTGCTATGTACAGAATTTATGGATTTAGTTTTTGTCATAATATGAAGCAATGACTCCATTAATTACATGAATCTCATGATAGCTATTAGTCTGATGATTCATTTATTTTCTGTGGTATGTAAAGTGTGCAGACTCAATGCCATCTTAATTGGTGAATTTAAATTGGAAAATAAGTTCACCGTAGTTAAACCCAAGAAAAACATATTCACATCTAAGCCTGTCAGACAGTTTATGCAGGTAAATGCTTTCTTTTGAGCTCAAAAAATAATGTTTTGATTTTGTGGGGGTCTTTTTTTGGGTTTTTATTTTGATGTGGGGTTTTTTGGTTTTGTTTGTTTGGGGTTTTTTGTGTTTTGTTTTTTGGTTTGTTTTTAGTTTTAGCTGTATTTCTATTTTAACAATGTTCTTGAGGAAAAATAAAATGTTTGATTTTGAAGGTGGTTTAAAAGGTAGAAACGCCTTGAGTACATTTTTCTGTATACTCAAGGATCATCCAGCAGCATATGTAGAGTAATAATGTATTGTTCTTCATGGTAAATACAAACATTGGTAATTCTAAAATACCAATGGTTTTAGGATGAATAGTATTTCTCAGGAGCTGAACACTGATGATAATTTCAAAGAATGCCAAAAATGCTTTTCTTATCTTTAATAGGCATAATCAACTTTTGTAACACTTTGAACTAAAATGGCTTTCTCAAAGACTTCTGGTATCCTTCACTTCCATATCTTTAGAGAGGATGATGCACTTAAATACTTGGCCAGGCTGGTGTGGATGCAGGTGGTGGTGAGAGCTGTGACACATGCAAGTGCAGATTCCCCAGTTTGTGACTTCCTAAGGCCTTATCTGGGAGTGAGGGTGGTCCTGACCTGCGGTGCCCCTGCAGCACTGTTGTAGCTCTTCTTGCAGAACCGGTGCAGAATGCAGAAGCGGATGCCTTGTTCTGTAAGGAGCCTCTCCTCATGTAGGTAGTGTAAGTCTTTACAGAAAGGCTCAGAGTTAATGCACTCCATTATAGTAAGCCTTGTTATGCTATGTTTTTCCTATGCTGTACTTTCTTCTTTAAATTCTCATTTCCTAGGTTTCTTTGCTTTCCCCAATCTTTGTGAATTTCTGTCCTTAAGCTTTGCTTTCAAAACAGGAGTCCTTTAACATAGGAGCTTCTTGAAGGGTGTTGCTGACTTTAGGGGGCCTTGAGTTTCTGGCAGCACTTTTGGGCCGTTTGCATCCATGTACATGTCTTCCTGGTCAGTATCTTCTGAAAAGGGGAAAAAAAAGAAAAAAAATGGATAAAATCTTTGTAATATCAATGCGTTGGCCTCAACTAAAAGCTGTTTGCAAAATGCCTATCCTGGTTCACCAAAGACTGTTTCTCTGGGACCTAGTTGTTACCTCTTGATAAATCCAGTGCTCATACCATTGGCATAATGGTGTCTGACCTGATCATATATTGACTAGAGCCTGTTTGTTGATCCTTCTTATCCTTCTTATTAAAATGGAAAAGAATAGAGTATGAAATGCTACTAGAAATGCTATAAAAGCTTTTAATAATCCTGCCAGGCTTTGGAGAAGCCTGCCATCAAGAAAAATATTGAATGATCTATTTTGACTATTTTGAATGCTTCACGCTGAATCACAAAGTTTTATATGTTTTTGTTTAAAGGTAACTATTTTTGTCCATGTATGAAGCAATTAAAAATAGATCAGTACTGCTGCAGTTGTCATAAAGAAGCCCCTTAAAGCATTGATGGAAGGATGGTACTGCAAAAATTCCTTGGTGTGGTGGAAAGTTAATATGTCTGTTTTCATAGTGACAGTGATTTCCACTCCAGATCAAGATTAAATTCAAGAACCAGTATCATACTTGCAACACAGAAAATTTTAACTAGAAAAAGTTAATTTGGGCAAATTTGTAATGGTGGTAGAGTTTCACAGAATTGACCAAGTGATTCTACTAGGATTTCTCACTTTCCAAATACCTACCAACTATTTCTACACAGTTTAAGACAGCGTTGACTTGAAATCAACCACAACTTTTAGAGTCCTTCTAGAGTCTTCTATTCTTTAAACCAGCAGTTTACTTATTTTTGCTTGGGTTAGCAGAAGAGCTATAGCTAAATGTTTGACTGTATCTCTCCTGCTAAAGCCTGGCAGGACTACAACTTGAAGATCATGTCAAGGCTCATTCCACTGGGAACAGAACTGCCTTGGCTGCTAGCCTTAGATCTGTCCCTATCTGGGAGATTTGCAGAGTGACCAATTTATATTCTTTGCATATATTGTAAAGTGCTGGTGCATACATAACATCTCACTGATAAGTGTTTTTTTGTTGAGGGTGGGAGGGAAAAGGGAGAGTTCATATTACAAGACTGAATGCTTTGAAGTGCTTGGGGTGGAGTTTAATGGGAAAAAATAAGATTCCCAAAATAGGGACTCAACATTTTTCTCTTGTAATTTTTTAGTTTCTCAATGAATAAAAATATACTTTGTCCTAGACATCATTTAGTTAAGTTGTCCACTTCATAAAAATATTTTGTAGTAAGGAGTTATCCTAGTCTTTAATATAAACCCACATGATATACGAGGCCACACATTACTACATTCCCTGTAAAGGGTACTGCTGTTCTTGATTTCTTTTGTTATAGCATGTTAAAAAAACCAAACCAAACCAAAAAACCCCACAACATTTTATTTACAAGGCCTCCATTAAGCTCTTTATCTCAAAGGCTGTGTATCCACAAAATAATTTTAGACAACAAAATTACTTCTCTGCAAGCTTTGGTCTTTGGGAGGAAGCAGATCTGTGGATTACCAATCACTTGCTGCCTTTTCCTCCTAGGTCAGGAATAACTTATAACTTTATGACTAAAATCTCTAGATAACTTTTTGAATAGAGTTGTTCTTTGATATTCTTTCTTTTCATCCTTGAAAAGAAAGGGTGAAAGGGTGAGATGGACTGATGTCAAATGCAAGGAGATGTCTAGGTGCCTAAGTGGAGTGCTTCAAAGTGCAAGTTTTGTAGGTTGTCTCATGCTGGATATGTATCTGAGAGGGATGATCAGCAGAGATGTACATCTCTCTCAGAATAACTAAGTAATCTTTCTTTTTTTTCCTGTTCTCACTTTGTTAATATAACTTTTCAAAAAGGAATAAACAGCCTGACTTTTACTGGCCTGCAGTCACACCATGTTTATCAAACACAGATGAGAATTGCTATAAATGTCTTGCTGTGACCTCGATTTTGGCTTTTATGGCCAAAGATGGTGTGGAGGGGTGTGAAAAGGATTCATTATAGCAAGTGTGGATTTGCTTGCTTCCCTTCTCCCCCTTTCCCAAAGATTTCTGACTGATTCCAGGGCCTGTTCTCCATACTGACATTGCAGTTTCTTGCTCTTTGCCCCCTAAAGAACGGGGAAGACTTCATGTGTCTTCCATTCATCTTGATCATTTTTTCAGGGCAGGTAGAAACCAGACACCTAAAACTTGTTTCATTTTTGACCTAGGCCATCCATGGCAACACTTTAATTTATTTTGTTATCTTAAAAGTGAAATTCACTCCTACTAGCAAAGCACCAATGCTCACAAACACAGAAATTACTAGTTTTTGTGGAATCTGATTCCACTCTGGATAATAGTTCTTGGTAAGAGGGATTGCCATGGTGGAGTTGAGCCACTAAGGAGAAGTTTCTGATCAGCTGGAGTGCAGCGGGTGGAATTTCTCATCCTTACGCTTTTGTAGTCATTTAGGGACAAAAACCTTACAAACTATCCCCATTTTGAATGCTTCTACTGTATCATCCTGTTCTTTTTGTGTCTGAATTAGAGGATGAAATTTTCTACACGTCTGAATTCTTAACTTAAATTCTTTTGTTTCATAGGAGATGATACTTTAAAGATATGGGATATAAGGCAATTTAAAAAGCCTCTTAATTCAGCAGAAGGACTGCCCAGCTTCTTTCCGATGTAAGTACTCTAATTTATTCTAGCCAGTAGAAATAGCAGAGCTGTGCTGAACAGGAGGGAGTCTACTGGAGTTCTCAGTTCTTACTAGGTCGGAACTGTGCAGGAAGGACTGCCCAGGATGGACTGTGCAATAAGGACTCTTGGCTATTTTAGAACCTCATGTTGCTTTAAAATAACTCTTGGGTTTTGTGATAATCTATAGATAGCTTTGCTTGTTTTATACCATTTTTCTCTCTCATATGTCTTATGTCTAATTAGATTAGCAGTTTTTCAGGAGGAGGCCAGTTCATTCATTGCCTTATGTTTGTGTAATGAGATATATAAGTAATCCTCATTCTTATTTTGTCTATGATTAATAAAAGAAGAGCTGGATTGAAAAGTAGACATAACACGTGTGCATGGTACAAATTCAGGTTATGATGTTAGAAGTGCTGATGACTGTGTTCTTTGGTACTAAAATAGTGTACTGCATAGTGCTAAGTATTTTATTTAATATTTTTATTGGTTTTACCTGTATTTCTATAGTTGTAGCACAGCCAAATCCAACTTGAAGGACAGTTCATACTTTTGAAATAAGATCTTAGAAAGGCAGGTCATGGACAGCTCAGTCTTGATGGTAATTCATAGCATAGAGGAAAAATAAACAGAGAAATGCTTTTGGCCACTGGATATACACTACCTTGCACCACTGAAGTATGTGTCATCAGCACAAACAGATTTCATGATTGATTTTTTTTTTTTTTGGTTCTTAATGAAGATGACCCAATTTTGAAAATACTTTTTGTTTGTTTGTTTCTCATATTGAAAAGTTTACAAGACTTTTGAGTGAAGGAGAATTCTGTTGGGAGGTTGTTTTTTTTTTATTCGATCTGCCAGTTTTGTACATTCTGTGCACAGCTGTAATTGTACATGTTAACTATGGCTGATAACTGTAGTAATAGATGACAGCTGACAAGATTTTTTTTTTAAAAGCTTTGTCTTGAAAGAAATAACAAATAGGGTTATTTTTAAGGAATTCAATTTATATATAAGCTCCCTACGCATTAATTACTGATTTGCTTAGTATGATGATTTGTTTTCTTCAACAGGACAGATTGTTGTTTCAGCCCAGATGATAAAATACTCGTCACAGGGACCTCTGTGAAGAAAGGTGGCGGCAGTGGGAAGCTCTTTTTCTTTTATCGGGAGACATTCCAGAAGCTGTATGAGATAGAAGTTACAGATGCGGTATGTATTTTAGTTTTGTTCTGTCAACTGTTCAAAAGATGAATGAAATAATATTCATACGCTTTTCTCCCTTATACAGCTAGTGACCTACTAACACTACTGTAATTTTCCTACTCTATATTTAAGAGAGTGGTAGAGTGGTGTGAATAGGTGTTACTCTCAGTTAAAAAGAAGTATCTTGTGACAAGGTGTTTAAGCACAAGGAGATCCCTGCTTTGTATTAGTGTTGTGTTTCTCAAGGTTTTCTGTGAACCCTTCTAGATCTATGAAGTGAGGCAGGAATCCTAAAATTCTTACATATTTGTGCTGTTTTACTCTACCAGTTGTCATGATGACATGTCGTGTTGTGAGAAAACTCCTACTTGTCCCTTAAATTAGACTTGTGGTTACTGTAGAAGGTATTTCAATGGACACTGGCCTGCATAAATGCAACAATTACCTGGTATAAGGAAGACATCATTGGGAATCCCTCTGTCAAAAATACCATTCTCACCAGTAATATAAAAACCTCAAATTTTGAATCTGTAATACAGAAGAGTCTGTCTGTGACTTGAACTGCCTACCTATTCCCCCGTATAGAAGAAGCAGCTTAAGGTCGTTGTTGAAAAAAGGTCATTTCGCTCTTCAGCTGTACACAAGTAAGCTTAAAGATTGTAACAAACAGGAGTGCGAGAAATTAGAAAAGAATTACCACTGTTTATCTATGGCAACGTATGCCTAAATCTCATTAATTGTTCCAGTCTGTCAGATAGCAGCTTTGTCACTTCGTTTTAGGATATTGTTTTCTCCATCTTCACTTTTCTTAACCCAGCACAGCAGTGTCTTCCTAGCACAGCAGACCACAACCCTTTGTGCTGGAGATCATTTATACAGAGTTTACATTTGTATTTACCTTGTTTTCAAATCCCATTTTCTCTTCTAATTCATCCTAAAGCAAAATCTGCTTATGGATGCATTCATTACACCATCATTTCTGTGGCAGCAGTCTTGAAAATCAGAAATGCAGAATTCATGTCAAAGCAGAATGCATGTGTTTTTCCTGGAGGGGGGAGAAAAAAAACCACTGGTTTTATTTCATACATATATTCTAAATACAGGTTTTATATGATATTGAGAGTTTTATTTAGGACTAAAGAATTGCTCCCCAGATAGCATAAATTGGATTTTAAATTCTTCTCCTAAAGAACATACCAAACCTCAACATAACTCATAGGGATTTCTAGTGTAGTGTGGTGGTTTTGGTTTTTGGGGTTTTTTTAACCTTTTTCTGAGACAAAGCATGAATGCCTCAGTATCCTCTCTGAAACTTTATGACAGAGAAAACAACTGCATAACATAAAGTACAAGAGTTAGGTTGTTGTGAGAGCTCTTCTGGCCTAGGGCACAGGAAACAAAATAGCTTAGAAATTCCATTCACAATGAATTTGGATTCCTAAGAGCTAGGTGTCTGGATGTGGTCATGATGGCATCTGCATTTGGTGCTGGTGAAGTAACAGTGTACAAAAACTTCAACTGAGCTATAATACTGAAAGAAAGAGAATCTTGTCCTGTGTGTCTGAAAGAAATTAAATATTGAGAATTACAGCTCACCAACCTACCTGTTTTGCATTCAAAGGAAATAAAATTTTAATTGGCTAACTTTTTCTCCCAGAAAAACAGTGTGCTCGTTCTCTGAAATAGAGGGTCTCTTTACCTGCTGAGGTAGATAATGCTACAGGAGAGTCCAGAAAAAATGTTTTGCTATCAGTTTCTCTCAGGACTGAGAGGTAAAGTCCTGTTCTTCTGCTTCAGTATGCAAGAGACATGGAGTTGAGAACCAACAGTAGGAAATTGTTAGAAAAACAAAATTAGGGGTCAGTAAGCAACTTCACTGGGGCCACTCACATAGTAAAATTTTAAGTGTGTGTACAAATCTCAGCAGGATCATTATTTTATGCTATAAATTTATATAGGTGCTGATATTTATATGGTACTTTTTAAGACTGTAGTAAATTACTGTTGTCCGTAGAGTTTTACTGCTGCTGTTTTTCTTCATTTGTTGTTACAAAATTTAAGACTGTCATTCTCCTGCTTTCAATATAATGGATCAAATGCAAGTAATAGAAATAATAGGTGAAGAATTGAGACTCGTAAGTGCTGGTCTATCTTACGGCACAATTTTAGTGAGCCAGCGTTAATAATACCTCTGCAGTCAGTCTGACTAGCTTCCAGCTTTGACATTACACGTCTAAGAAAAACACAGTTAAGCTTATCAACCTGAATCTAAAACAAGAAAAATTAATCTCGTTTGTCTCAAATTGCAGTGTTTGAAATATATACACATAAAGAAATGCTAAAACCAAAATAATTTTCAAGAAGCTGGCTTTTGTATTTCGTAAGCAGTACCTGCTGTTTATTGGAAAGATCATTGGCCTGTATGTTAGTAGATTAGTATCTTGTGTGTAGTTTATCAAATAATTTTTTCAACAGTGCAGTAATTACTTGCTTTCTATAAACATCTTTCCTAGTTTCCGTTTTTTCCTTATTCTCTTAAAAATGCTGGTAGCAGTGTAATTAAAGGCAAAAACATAATGTTTTCTGAGACTTCAGGGGTTTTTTGTACCCAAATAGCAAACTTTTTCACCTTTTTTATGTTATCTAGTGCTTAAATACGTAATTTCAATGCTTCTGGTTTGGATTTTTTAGGTGTTGTATGGATGAGGTTACACTATGCCCATATCTGGAGTCAAATCACATATACACCTGTATGTATCTCTGGAAAGAGCTTGATCTGCGCTCATTCCTCATGAAAACAATTTCAGTGATTTCAGCTGGATTTAGTCCAGATTGCTAAAGGGCTTCATTAGTCATTTTTTTCAAATATAAAATAAAAATAGTAAGACTTCTTGAGGTAGAATATATATAATCAGAATAAAAGAAAATCTACTGTGAAGAGAACACATATACTACTAATGTCTTACTTTCTTAATTTCACAAGGATTTTTTGAAGGAAATGCTGGTAAGCTTGGAAAATTGAAAAACACTGAAGAGCAGTAAACATTATCTTAAACCTCCTTGGTAAATAGCCAGTGTAATTGGCCTGTGAATGAACTCAGGGGATAATGGGAAAATATTTAATGAGAATGTTTGACCAAAGCAGGGTCTGGCATTCCTTTCCATCATACCACACAAACCCTTTTTCACCTTTTCTTTCAAGTTTTCATGGGAAAACCCATTACTTTTTCAGAGCTGCTGGAGTGAAACCTTTTGGTTTTACTAGTGGACTAAGAGTCTGATTAGTCTCTGCTGTTGTGTCTGGGTACAGAATCTTAATTTGCTTTTCATTTCATGTATTAGTTTTGGGGTTTTTTGTTTTCTTTTGTGGTTTGTTTTTGTTTGTTTGTTTTTAAGTCACAGTCTTGTGGCTAAACTAGTGACTATGTGGTTGTGTCCACTATTGAGTGCTATCCCACCATGCAGGCATTGGTATTTCTCTAGAACTCAAGCTTCATGGATAAAAAACAATACTTCCTGCAGAAAAACTAAATAAATGTTAAAAGATGTGCAGACCATGGGCTCCATCTCTGGCCAGTAGCGGTGTGCCAGAAGGAGGAGGTGTGAACAGGGCAAATGCACAGTGATGCTTCTCTGACTATCCTGTTCTGACTCCGTCGATCTGTCACTTAGAGATATCTTGATGCAGACATAGGAATTTTGCAATTAACAGCACTTAGTGATTTTTCTTCCGTGAGTTTATCAAGGAGTGGAATTACCCATGTTACAGGTTACTGGCAGGGTCACTTACTGCAGATAAGATCAAAACGCAGGGGTGGGAGCTCCTGCCTCCCCCAGTGTCATAAGGAAGCTGGTGCTCCATATGCCGCATTTCAGCCTTACTCTGGCTCAGCATGTGCAGGTGTGATTGGAAATGATGAGAGCTTTGTACTGTGACCATAGTTCTGTATGCTAAACTGTACAGAATTCCTCTCTTTAACAAGAACTGAATTTCAGAAAATCCTGCCAGGCACGTGCAGCTTTTCCGTAGTTTCTCTGTCTCTGTTTTTTCGGTCTTGACAGTGTTATCTGTGAATTGTTCTTTTGCTCTCACCTCAAATAGCCATAAGAAAATATTGATATTAAACTTTCCTAATTTTAACAGTTAACACTTACTTGATATGAAAGATTTATAATTGCATGCGGAATGTTTCTTCACTCTATTTAGATGGATGAGGAGCCCTAAATAGATGTCTGGAAATTTAACTGCTAGAAGAGGGATACAAAGGGTACACACAGAAACTTAGTCCATTGCCTTTCCTTTCCTCAGGTAGTATGAGAGGAAGGAAGACCTGTAGCTGCTTTGGGATGAGGTCTCATCTTTTTGGGATGTCTGTAACTGCACTCCCTTTCTGGAATGGAGATATCAATTGTCAGATGCACATCAGGGAGGGCTTACTCTTAATTCGTGGTTTGGTTATGCAAGTATGAGATCTTCATGGGAACCCATTATAAATACCCAGTGCATGGGAAACAGAGTTGGGTACACCACATTTTCCCCAATGTCAATTTAATTTAAAATAGCTGTGGATAGCCACTTGAATCACTCTCACATGTCTGTCATACGTTTAGCTGGTTCAGACAGGTCACCCAGTAGTTATCCTTATTACAGACAAGATTGATTTTGGCAGAGGTAGAGCAGTCATTTTCCCCATATGGTAAGGAGAAGTAGTACACCCCGTTACTGCCAAGCAACAGTGGGCACTGTGGTGGGGGGTGGGGGTGGGGAAGTTGTACAATTACAGAAAGGGCTATTTTTAAATGAAAATGAATCTAATTATTTAATTTAACAATTACCAAAGCTGATGAAATTGTGTACATTATAAAATGGGATGTGCAGGTTTTTAAAATACCCCACAGGTTTTTGTAGGTAAGCAACCATCCAAAGAGATTTATGGTTGGTTTGGTAAATCTGTTTCTGTCAGGAGGATTCTTAAATTTTTTCTTAGTTTCTCAAATGTAAGCAA